AATTAGTTATTTATGATTGTTTAGTTTTGTTTAGTTCTTTTACGTTTTGATATAAAGTTCTATAACGAAATTCCAAAAAAAAAAAAAAAAAAAAAAAAAGTTTTCTTTAACTACAATTAACCCAATTAAAATTAAATTTTCTAATTATTATTATTATTATTATTATTATTGTTGTTGATCGAACTGGAGTGATATCGATATCGTTAAGTGAAAAAGTTTTGGAGAAAATTTCAACGTTTAAAATATATGTAATTGTTGTAGTAAATATTGATTGAAAATAAATCGATAAAATGTTGCTGTAGTGATGAGAATTACAAATAACGATGCGAAATTTTCTTTTTTTGTAGTCGATAATAATAATAATGATAATGATAATAATGATTAAATTAATTAATCGTTTGAGTTTCAAATCAAAAACAAAAATTAATTCGAATTATTATGAATTATTAGTTTTAATTTACAAACGCACTACAATTTTAAAATATAAGGAAAAATTCATAGTCTACGATTAAAAGTTGTTAATAATAATAATGATGATGATGATGATGATGATGGTGATGATGATAATAATAATTTTCTTTTTTTTTTTAAATTAAATGTTTCCATTAAAGTCAATTCAAATGAAAAATTATATTAAAGGCTGTTTTCTTAATGAAAAGTTACTTTTACAACCTTTTTTTTCTTTCTTTTTTTTTTTTTTTTTATAAAAAAGGAAAAAAAGGAGGAAAAAAAGGAGAATAAAAAAAGGAAAAAAAAGGTTTAAAATTTTAAAAAAAGAAAAAAAGAAACATTTTTAATGTTAATTTTTCTTTTTTTTGTATTAAAAAGATTGAGTCTGTGTCTGTTGTAGTAGTAAGTCATAGCATCTGTTTTTTTTTAAATATAATTTATAATTAATTACTTTTAATTTAAATAATTTTTTATTAATTGTTATTATTATTATTATTATTATTACTTAAATTACTTTCTGGTTAAGGTAATAAAATAATTGTTTTTTTTTTAACAGTAAAATTATCAAGGATGGGCGGAAGGGCGGGAAGGGAGAAAGGGAGGAAAAAATTACCACGAAAAATAATTTTTTTTATTATCCCGTAAGAACGAATTGTAATCATAATAGGTAATAAATATTACGTAATAATTTTTTTAAAAGCAATCATTATTATATTCGATTAATTAAAATAGATTAATCGATCAATTTTTTTCAATATCGCGATAAATAGAATTCACGAGAAAAATTTTCACGAATTTGTTCATAATTATTTATATTTAACGTTTTCATGACGATACCTTTTAATTTTCCTTCTTATTATTATTATTATTAAATCTATTTTAATTCTGGGGGGATCGTAAAGAATAACAAACAAAATTTTAAACTCGAAAATAATTTTTTTTTGGAGGGGGGCGGGGGAAGGGGTAAATAATAATTGAAATTTTAAAAAAAATTTTTTTTTTCTTATTAAAAATGTCATAAATAAAATAATAACAAAAAAAGTTTGTAAAGAGAGAGTGAGGGGGTAGAAGTGCGGGGAAGATGAAACAAAAAGTTAGTAATTAGTTAACGTTATTTTATTTAAAAAAAAAAAAAAAACCAAGAAATCAAGATTTTAAAAAAATAAAAAAAAAACTTTTTTACTTTTTCCCCCTCTTGACTTTTTTCTTATTCTTTTTTTTTTTTTGTGTAAATGAAGATATATGAACGTCTCTTTGGTGAATTTCATTTGTTTTTTTTTTCCCGGGTTAAATTTATTTTAATTTATTATTTATATAAATTTAAAACCAAAATGGTGGAAAAGGAAAAAAAAAAATTAAAATTATTTTCCGCGAGTTTTTGATAAAAAAAATAAAAAAAGAAAAAAAACTTACCAAGAGAAACATAAAGTGCTTGTTTAACCGTATAGTTAGCTTCTGGTATTGATAATTCACATTCAAAAACGTGTTCATCTGGATCCATATCATCATCATCTATTTGTATGGATGCTGTTACGTCATACAATCCATTCCTCATATTTAATCTCATGTGATTTTTACTACTAACCGGCCTGAAATATAAAAAAAAAAAAAATTTTTACATTGTATGGTGTTAAAGGTTAATAACCTTTTATCAAAATAATTAATTAATTTTATATTAGGGGGGGGGGGAAACTTACTTTGAAGCGCTAAATATTCGAATTATTGGCTCTGGATAAACTCCTTCGGCTACGCAGGTAACATTAACAACATTTTCATCTCTTGGATAATCAGATGATTCGACGCTATTGTCTTCTCGATTGTCTGAATCGACCGTATGCCAAAATTTTAAATTACTTTGCGGCACTAAAACAAATACAAACAAAAAAATTTTTTTTTTTTTTAACAAACGATGATGATAATAATAATAAAAAGTTTTAATTAATTTTTTTTTTTTTAACCCTCGATCGTTCTTTTACTTTCTTATTAATTTTTTTTTGTATCCCTAATCCTTTTCCCTTTCCCCTTTTCTATTACCTTTCGTCGATTTCCCCCCTCCCCCCAAAAACCTTTCATTTTTAATAATTTTCCTTCGAAAAAATTTTTTCCATGCGAGTAATAATAATAATAACGGAAAACAAAGTTTTAGTTTATGTTTTCATATTCGGTTTTCGTTTAGTTTACGAGTTTTTTTTTTTTTTTTGTTTATATATTTCCGTATGATGGTGATATCCGGTATATTCATATCGTTAAAAATAAAGTAAAAAAGAGAAGGAAAGAAAAGAAAAAATTACGTCATAAAAATGAGTTTTTTATACAGTAAGTAAGCGTACCCTCATAGGAAAAAATGAAAATATCGTAAAAGATGGCGTTTTTTTTTGAAAAAAAAAGTTTTATCACGTTTTTTTCTCTCTCTCCCTTCCCTCTCCCTATCTCTCTCTCTCATTTTTTTTCTTTCTTCCATGAGGGAATTTGCCCAATTTTCTAACTTCGCACGAAAGAAAAAAAAAAAACCTGTGTGGGAAGAATCACAATGTATATATCCGTAATGGTAAAACTGTGGCATAAACACACAAAAAAACTTTTCAAAAATATTTTTCTCCTCATAATTTGAGGAGAAAAAAAAAAAAGAAAAGTTTGTTGTTTTTATTTTTACTTTCTAACATGTTTTTTTGACTTAAAATATAAAAAGTAAAACCAATTTTAGTGTAAAAAAAAAAATATTTTTTTGGTCAAACGAACAAAAAAAAAGTTTTCTAAACTATTTCAAATGTTTCCCCCCCCGTCCCCCCTCAATTTTTGTCTTAATTTAAAGATGATTTTTTTCTTTTTTTTTAATGAAAAGTTTATCTTAAATAAGTTAATAATAAATTTGGTTAATATTTGTTTTCATCGCCTTGATAATAAATTTTATTTTCACGTGGAAAAATACTTTTTGAAATTATTTAGGAACTCAATATAATTTTTTTTCCCAAATAAATGAAAACTTTTTCTTTTTTTTTCGATTTCGAGAATCGTTTTAGAAAATTAAATCGATAATAATCGTTTTATTATTTTTTAAAAACAAAATTTTTTACGAAAACGAAAATAAATATATTATTACTAATCTCTATCATCACACGTGCTAATTACATATACATTTAAAAATTTTTTATTTGCCGCCAAATTTAAATTCGGTTATTAGTTCAAAACGTTTCCGCTTGAAGCGCTAATAATTGTTTTCTTTTTTTTAACCTCCTAACGCTTATTGAATAATCTTTTCCGGATAAAATGTATAAATTACGTGAAAAAAACGACAATCATTTTCAATTATGAAAATGATTAATTAAATAATAAATAAATAAACTTCGAAGCCTTTTAATTTTGATCATTTAATATTTTTTTTTTTTTTTGGTCTCAGGATTTCAGTAAATTTAATTTTAATATTTATTTCACGCGCCAATTCCAATTAACCACCGACTCCGTCAAGGGTGTGCATTATTTTTAATTAACGTCTATGGTTGTTTACATTTCTCTTGTGTTGTTTTCGTTAATACAAATCAAGTTTCCAACTTTATTTTAGACTCGAGTTAAATTTATAAAAACAGTTAAAAATGTCTTTGATCGATCCAATAAAGCACACTTATCTCGACAGAGAATATTCATGCATACAAAATTTTAATCCGAGAATAAAAAATCGTTTAATGGATAAGGAAATGTCGGCACACACAACTTATAGAAATTTGGAACCTCCTTTTTTATTAATGGCATCATCATTACCAGCAGTATATTCACCGACCGTAGACATAACAAGAACTAAAATAGCTTTTGGAAGATGGGCATTGCCGAAATTAAAAAGACAAATTGCTCACGATGATATATTCGAAGTTTCGCAAGCACTTAACAGTATTTGGGATTTGGTTCGTGATCCAGAAAAAGGTTACGAAGCTATTAGAATAGGACTAGTTGATTCTTTATCGAAAATAATGCTTCACGAAAAAGATTTTGTCAGAGAGAAAATTTGTTTAATTTTTTACACGCTCGCAGGATTGGAAGCTGGAAGAAGAGTAATAATGAGAAGGTAAATTTTTATTACTTTCTTAAATTCATTATCATCATCATCAGATAAATAAAAGAGGAAGGGGGGAGGGTAGGGGGGAGGAAAAAAATACATTTTAGAGTTTTTAAAAAAAGATTAACGTAATTTTATTATTATTAATTCTCTCCTCTTCATCCGATTTTCAACGTTCATTTGTAATTTAATCTTCGAAAAAAAAAAAAAAAACAATTATATCATTAAAAAGGAGAAAGATTATGAGATTAAAGATTATCTTAAGTTGAAAACAATTGAGAGTGAGAGAGAGAGATTTATAAATTTTTAAATTTCATTTCAGATACAAGATTTTAAAAAATTTAGCGCTTCTCCTAGAGGATAAAAATGAAATTGTTAGATTAAAAGCACAAATGGTGATTGAAATGTTATCATTATCACCGACCGGTGCAAACGGATTAAATTGTGCCGACTTTTTGATATTAATTTTACGTTTGATCGGTGGAAATCCAAGAAACGAAAACGAAGATTTAATTATTTATCATTTGGCAACGCTGAAAATGCTTTTACAAAGAGATTTTAAAGAACTCGCTATAAAACACAACGCCATGAATATATTAATTGAAAAATTAGATTCGAATAACGACAAAATAAAAATGTTAGCTTTGGATTGCATAGCCGTCCTTTGTCACGAATCCTTTGGACGATTAGAAGGAGCCGACAAAGGTTTGGGTTTGATTTTATGTAAAAAATTACACGATCCTTCATTTGAAGTTAAGATCAAAGTCGCTGGTGCTTTGGCATTTGCAACGATACAATCGGAAACGAGAAAAATATTAAGTAAAAAATGCATAGTCGACGTTTTAATGGAAATATTAGAAAATTATCATTTTACCGAAGGACAGTTGGCATCAATGAAAGTTTTATCGAATTTATTCGAGGATCCCGATGGTAAACCCCTCGTAGCGCCATTAAAGAAAAAAATTAAAAAAATATTTACAAATGGTAACGTCGAAGTTGAGCGTCACAAGGGAATGTTAATAAATTTATTGAAAAAAAAAAAATAAAGTAATTTATTTATAACTCAATTTTTTTTATATATATATTTATTAAAAATAATAATTTTGTATGGCATTACGTCACACATCGATATTCAACTTTATTATTATTACTATTATTATTTTATAAAAATTATTTTTAATAAAATAAAAAAAATTTATAATTAATAATTTTCTTTTTTTTTAAACCGTCGTCAAATTTATACGTGCGTAGTTCAATAAAACCTTTTTTTTAAATGTAAATAAAAAAAAGCAGAAGAAAAATGAAAAATATATATATATATATATAGCAGAAGAAGAAAAAAAAATTTAAACTTATTTTAAATAATAAAGTTAACACAATTAACGTTGCATTAATTTTTTCATTTTTTTATTTCATTTTCTATTTTTTTTTCTTTTTCCTTTTTTCCTTTCTTTCCTTTCCTTCCTTTTTTTTTTAACTTTTGTCCCTAAGGAGATTTAAAGTTCATTAACGTTAATTATTTTTTAGGGTTTGTTATATATAAAAAAAAAAAAAAAAAAAAAAATAAATATCTTTTTTCCTGAACGTGAAATTAAAAAATATTAATTTTATTTCCTTTTTTTTCTTTCTAGAAGACCTCGAAAAAAAAAAGTATGAATTACAAATTAGAAAAAAAAAAATCATTAAAAGATGCGGTTTTTATAAAAATAATAATAATAATAATAATAATAATAATAATAATAAAAGATATTATTATACGTACGAGTAATAAAAAAATTTATATTAAAAAAAAAAAAGTAATTAAAATGAATAATTTACGTGAATAAATAATTTTTTTTTTTACGCCGCCTTGGATTAAAAATAAAAATTTAGCAGACGACAAAAATATTTTAAATCGATTACACACGAGGGAAAATTATTACTTATATAAAGTCAAACCGTCATTTATTACCCTACAACAACAACAACAACAAAAAACAACGAAATAATTTTTTTTTATTACGTAATATACGTGAAAACGTTGGAAACATTTTTTCCTTTCTTTTCTCTCTTACTGGAATTTTCCAGTTTGGTTAAAATCAAGATTATTTTCTTCTTTTCTTTTTCTTTTCAACTCAAAAATATTTTTTTTTTTTTTTTATTCAAAAGAACAAACGACAAACAAACAAACGAACGAACGAACGAAAATTTTTTTTTACGTACTTTAAATTCTTTAAATACGTTTTAACTTTAAATTCTTACGTACGAACTAACAACGTGAAAAGAAAATTTTCTTTTTTTTTTTTTTTTTTTTTGTTTTTAAATAAATGATGAAAAATAATGTTTAACTTATGGGTAAAAAAAAAAATCTTTCTTAACAAATTCTTTCTCTTCTTTTTATTATTATTATTATTATAATTATAATTATTATTATTATTATTATTATTATTATTATTAGTATTATTATAAATATTATTATAAATATTAATTTTTAATAAAATAAATCTCTTTTTATTTATTTTATAGCGGTAAAATTATACTATTAAATAATTTAGTCTTAAAAAAAAAAAAAAAAATTTAAATGAATAAGAAAAATTTTCTTTTTGTGATTAAAAAAAAGAAATGGGGAAAAGTGTCGTAAATATTTTTATTTCATCTTTTAATTATTAATCCTCCGGTATAAATAAATAAATAAATAAATAAGATTTTTAATAATTACATAATAAGATATAATAAAAATATTTTATTTATTTAAATTTAATAGAATTAAAAAATAAATTTTTTAAACAAAACAAAAATTTTATTCAATTTACCAAAAAAAATAAAATAAAATAAATAAAAGAATCCCTGAGGGTTGCGGGGGAGGAGGAGGGGAGGGGTTAAGGGGGTCGAGAGTACCGCCTACGAGGGTTAAAACAAAAAAATGTAAAAGAAAAAAAATTTGATGGACGTTTAAAAATAAATGAAACGTAAAAATTTTTTGATTTAAAAACCAAATTGATTAAATAGCTTGGAAAAGTTAAATGAATATTTTAAAGGGAAAAAATAAAAGTTTAAATTTTACAATTTTTTTTCCTCTTCCTTTCTTTCTCTCTCTCTCTTTCTCTTTCTCTCTCTCTTTCTCTTTTTTTTTTGTTTGTCTATAATCTAAAACTAAACCCGAAATGAAAAAAAAGAAAAATCTATTTCGATTCCGTTCGATTTTTTTTTTTACACTACAGTAATCGTACTACAATTACCTCTTTTATTATTATTAAAATTATTCACAGCCTTTTCGAATTTTTTAAATTATGGCGGGAAAATACAAAATCGTCGTTAAACCAAGTTGCCATTTTTATATAAAATATTTTTTACAATATGAGAAAATCAAATGATGATAACGCTTATCAAAACTGTTTTTATAACAACATTTTTTTTTTATAAAATCGTCATTGCGCCATTTTATAAGTTTTAAATGAAGGGGCACATTTTGATAATGATAGTAATGATGATGTAACTGCGTAAAAAAAAATTAATATTGTTATTTAAAAAAAAAAATTTTTTTGTTTACATTAATCTTATTATTATTATTATTATTATTATTTGGCAATAAAATATCGTGACATTAAAATATTTATTGTTTTTGTTTAAACGTCACGTATATCACATCGCGTTTTATTTAATTTGTTTTTATTATATTTTTTCATTCGGTTCTTTATTTAAAAAAAAATTATACCAATTCATAACGCGGTAAAATTATTAATAATAATAATATTTATTAAAAATAAATAAATAAATAAATAAAAAACTCACCGAAAATAATCATTTTTTTAGATTGTGATTCTTCTTTTTCAAATGTTGATACGGTGCATTTATATTCACCGGAAAGTTCTGGAGATGGATTTAATATTTGTAGTGCTCTATACATTTTTTTTGCTTCTTCTGAAGCTTTATAATTTAAATTTAATTTCCCCTGAAAAAATAAAAAGAAAAAGAAAAATTATTATTATTATTATTAACGTTTTCCTTCCTCGCATTATTATTTATTTGTATAAAAAAAAAAGATTTTATTAAATCCTTTTTTTTTAT